TCCGTTTACGAAAAAAGGATAGGTATAAAACTGCCTTCACCACCCCCTTTGGTCACTATGAGTGGAAAGTTATGCCCTTTGGATTAAAAAATGCCCATAGTGAATTCCAGAATATCATGAATGATATCTTCAATCCTTATAGTCTTTTCTCTATTGTCTATATTGATGATATCCTCCTATTTTTAAAGTCACTTGATGAGCATTGGAAACATTTAAAAACCTTTCTTGCTGTCATCCAGAAAAATGGTCTTATAGTCTCTGCTTCTAAAATCAAGTTATTTCAAACAAAAATTTGTTTTCTTGGTTATCATATTTACCAAGGACAAATCCGTCCTATTGATCGCTCAATCCAATTTGCTGATAAATTTCCAGATGAAATCCTTGATAAGTCACAACTCCAGCGGTTCTTAGGATCCCTTAATTACATTGCTGATTTTTACAAAGATCTTCGCAAGCAATGTAAACCGCTATTTGAGCGCCTTCAAAGTAATCCTCTTCCATGGACTTCTGTTCATACTAGCATAGTCAAATCTATCAAGCAGTATGTTAAGACATTGCCTTGTCTTGGTATTCCAACTACTGATTCTTTTAAAATCATTGAAACTGATGCCTCTGACATTGGTTATGGTGGCATCCTCAAACAACGAGTCAGTCCAAACGCACCTAAACAATTAATTCAATTCCATTATGGTGTTTGGACAAAAGCACAGAGTAACTACAGTACTATTAAAAAAGAAATTTTATCCATTGTTTTGTGTATTAGTAAGTTTCAAGATGATATTTTAAATCAATATTCTTTAGTCAGAGTTGATTGTCAAAGTGCAAAATATGTTTTACAAAAAGATGTTCAAAATATTGCTTCTAAACAAATTTTTGCCCGGTGGCAAGCTATATTAAGTATATTTGATTTTGATATAGAAAAGGCAGTAACAATTCCATTCTAGATTTTCTTACCAGAGAATTCTTGCAAAAAACTGATGGCAGACCGACAGCTTCCCCCGAGGCCCCAACTAGTTAAACCTTTTTGATATTTGCTCAGGCAAAGCTCCAGTTACCAGATCCCAGTCACAATCCTCTTTAGCATTATCAGTTACCAACAGATTCCAACCTCTTGCTTCCCCCATCAACTTTCAAGTCAGCCCTAGTTAATCCGACACCAGATCCTTTCCAAGTCCAACCCGATGTTCAAACCTAGTCCAGATCCCGCCATTCACTAGTAAAAAACCACCAAGTCCATATATTGAAAAACCCCCTACTTCCTTGTTTTACATGGAGCCACACCTTAGTTACGTTAAAGACCTACTTGAATTGGTCCGCTCCTATTTTCCTAGTAACCTTCACTATGCCCCAGGCCATCATTCTAAAACTCTTCGGTTTTACAGAGATGTCCTGTACCACACTGACTCTATCACAGTCAAGACAACTTATGACAAGAATGATTCTTCCAAAGTTATTTACCATTCCCTATACATCTAACAGATAATCTCCATGAATGAATGGGGCAGTCACCCTTACTTACCTCAACCATTACCTGATCATAATATACAGTTTACGTATTATGATTATATGACAGCCTGGTCATCCATTCTCTTATACCAAAATGAGTCATTTACTTATTCATGGTTTATCAACTTTGATAGTCATTTTAAACGTCAAATCCCTACCTGGTTTCTGAGATGGTGGACTCTTCATGGTGCTATTCCATAAATCCTCCCCCTTTCCCTTGCAGATCAAGTCAAATACTTTCACACTGTTCACAAAGTTAACAAACATAGTTCCCAATTTCCAGTACTCTTATTATTTTGTTCTAAATACAAAGTCCTATGGATATTCAAATGGCAATATGATATCCAAGACAACATAGTCATCCGTCGCCACTATGTTAAATGGTGGGATACTTTTAAATTTGACAGGATTATTGGATATGTCAATGATGATTATCCCAAACAATCCTCCACCCATGTTACTTCCCAAACAAAGCAAATCATTCAACAGAAACAGCCTTCTCCTACTAGTTCTACTGTTTCCACCAAGTCACGGAAGCACACTCCCAAGTCAGAGCTAGAAGAGCTCAAGCATATGGTAGCCTCACTGACTGATCGCATCCAAGAGCTGTCTAAAGATGAAGAAGAGGCAGCTGATGCCTCCTCTGCTGCTAAATCAAGTCACCTAGTAGTCAATTTGTATGATGACTCTGTGTTCCAAGATAGTCAGGATCCATATCAAGACCCATTTTAATTAAAAATTGATATGGAAGAAAAAGTCACTATCTGGTCAAAGTTACTATTTACTACAGTAAAAGTCAAAAATGCTACGTAACCAGTCAAAGTCACTATTTCTACAGTAACTGTCGGCAGAATCACTGTTTCTACAGTAACCCGACAAAATACTATTCATCCACAGTAAAAATTACTATTCATCTACAGTCAAAAGCAAAAGTCACTTTTCAAAAGCCAAGATTCACGCTGAAGCATCCTCCAACAGTATAGGAGCCCGGTTATAAAAGCAATGCTCAATCCCATTGCATTTCAGGCTTCACCCGAGAGATTTCAGGCTTCATTACATTTTCTCAGTTTCAAATTGTAATCTTTAGTTCAGTTTTATTTATCTTTTCTGAGTGTAATACCACACCAGTATACTGTATTTGTCAGACTACTATCAGTAATTTGTAAGTTATTTTCAGTTATTCTCTGTTGTAATTATCTTCACTAATATAAGTTTGATTCCAGTTATATTTTCTTTCGTTTATATAAGTTATATATCTTGGTCGGTTATACACCGCCTTATTTATTTTTATGCATACACCGCCTTATTTATTTTAATGCTTTATCTATTTTAAGTTAATGTGCGCTTCCCCTTTGGTATCAGATGTTCTAGGTTTGATTGGGTTGTATTAATTGAACTTAGAACATCTATTTAATTGGGATGTATATATTTATCAAAAAATAATAATAATAACTGGGATGTATATACATATAAATAAAATAGGTATTTTGTGTATTCTGAGTTTGAATCACAAGCTTGCCGCTGTCCTCCATTGTTAACGTTCTCCGGCATACACACGAGCTTCGCGCATCGCCGGTCACAGTAGATAATTCCGTTCGGTTCATTCTCGTCGGGCAGTTCAAGTGCACCGTGATGAATTGATGATGATGATGATATTGCGGCAGTGGGGCTGTTTTGTGGTGATGATGATACATGTGCATGCGTGATTTTGTGATGGTGATGATATGTGTGTACGTGTGTATTTTACAGATAATATATATGTGTGTGTGTGTGTGTGTGTGTGTGTGTGTATTATAGTAGTTTGGGTTAGGGTTTGAAAGAGGGGAAAGAGAAGAAGGGGGTAAGAATTTTGGATTTATCATATGAGTTTTACCCAATAACCCATTTAATCTTTATTTGATTCAAGGGTATTTAAGTCAATTGTATTTATCAATTTTATATCAAAGGGTAATAAAGTCATTTCACCATTATTAGAGTCTCTTTATCCATTTTACCAAACTTGAGGGGTGTGATTGTCCAAAAATATGACAACTTTCATTTACCTGTCCTTATACCAAACTTTAGGAAGTGTTAGTGTACTTTACCTAATAAATAAATAAAGAGGAATGCTAAGGACAGTGCGACTGCCCATTCACAGTCGCCTATTCTTATTGGTGAGTAAAATTATAATTAATGCTTTCCTTAATTAGATGTTTTCTACTTTTATAAGATATTAAAATATATATTTTTACGGACAAAACTACCCTTATCCCTTACATTTGCCTTTCTCCCCACTCCTCCTTTCATTCACATATTGGTGTTTATATATATATATATATATATATATATATAAATGGCTAACAATATGTGAGTGTATTCTACAATATGTGAGTGTATTCTTTTTTCTCGATTTTTAATTGTCGTTTAACCTATATATATATATATACACACACACACTGGCATACAAATCTAACAAGGAAAAAAAAAAAAAAAGGAAAGTAACCCGTAAAGATCTAACAAGGAAAAAAAAGAAAAAAAGAAAAGAAAAGTATCGCTTTATATATATATATATATATATATATATATATGATATATGCATATATACACTATATATGTAAACTTCATTAAGTGAGAATTGAGGAGACCGATGAAAAGTTTAAAAAGACTATTTTGTCTAAAAAATTATAGTTTTAATATTCTATAAAAGTGAAAAATTTATAATTAATAAAGACATTAATTATAATTTTACTCACCAATAAAAATAGCGATTATGAATGGACAATCACCTCCTTAGCATTCCACGTAAATAAATGTCTCTTTAAAAAAAACTGTGTAAGTTCCACAACCCAAAAAAGAATACTTTGGGACGGAGGTACTAGTCATCTTCATCTAGATATTTGAAGAAGTGTCATTCAAAAAACAAGTGAGGGTTGCCAGACGAAACCAACTTGCAATGTCAGGAGTGACGTTTGTAAGGTGATGTCATTCTATTTGAGTCATCAACTTTGCGTAAGCACGATTCAAAAAGAGAGCCGGCACTTTTACAAACCCAGCGCAATCTACCTCAGCATATGACGTGACGTCTCTTCTTTTTCCATATTCCCATTAAAAAAAAAGTGTCAAAATTATTGAATGTCCCCTTATATTATTAATTTTTTTATTCTTTTTATAAAAATAATTAACAATATATATTTGCACGGTTGCACCTTATTTCTTTATAAATAATTTAAAAGGAAAGAAACATATTATTCATGTGGTGGAGCGCCATTCCACGTAGGTATTATTATAAAATTGGATACATATATATATATATAGTCCAATAATAAAAATATAAATTACATAAAACAACTAATTCTCCAATTATATTTATCATTGTAGTTATGTTACAACTTTTTATTGGATCTAACACGGCTTGCATCAGTGGGTGACAGTGACGCAACAGTCATCTATGTGTGTACCGCTTCCATTTCCCATCCTATATAAATCCTAAGGTTTGCATTGACATGCATAACATTAAAAACAAATTATCAGCAAATTTTATTTTGAGAGACAGATAGAGAGAGCTGGTCTTCAACCATGTCTACACCAAAATTGCTCCTAACCGATCTGGTCTCCGGTGTCAACCACGTTCCCTCAAACTACATCAGACCCATCTCTGACCGGCCAAATCTCACTCATGTTCAGTCATCAGACGGCTCTATTCCTCTCATAGACCTTGGTGCCCTCCATGGTCCTAACCACTCTCAGATTATCAAACAGATTGGCCTAGCTTGCCAAAATGAAGGTTTCTTTCAGGTATATATATATATATATATATATAATATTAATATGCTTATATTAATTTCGTAGCATTATTCTCACAAAGTATATTCACTATTTTCAGATTAAAAACCATGGAATTCCTGAGACCATGATAAGTAACATAATGAAGATAGCTAGAGAATTTTTCCGGTTGCCGGAGGAGGAGAGGTTGAAAAGTTACTCCGATGACCCTTCAAAGACTACTAGATTGTCTACTAGTTTTAATGTAAAGACAGAAAAAGTCTCGAATTGGAGGGATTTCTTGAGACTCCATTGTTACCCACTTGAAGACTACATGCAAGAATGGCCCACAAATCCTCCTTCTTTCAGGTAATTAATTTAAATTAAGCCTATTAGTTAATGTTGATTATATTATTAATATAGAGATATGTTCATTTATTATATAGTGTTTGTTAAATTTAATTGATAGGAAGGAAGTGGGTGAGTATTGCACTAATGTAAGAGGACTCGTGCTAAGACTGCTTGAAGCCATATCTGAGAGCTTAGGCCTTGGGAGAAATTACATAAGCAATCAATTAGGCAAGCATGGACAACACATGGCTATGAATTACTATCCACCATGTCCACAACCAGAGTTGACTTATGGATTGCCAGGCCACACTGATCCCAATTTAATCACGATTCTTCTTCAAGACGATGTTCCCGGATTACAGGTGCTCATCGATGGCAAATGGGTCGCTGTCAATCCTATTCCCAACACTTTCATTATCAACATTGGCGATCAAATGCAGGTAAATTGAAGTTTCTGAAAGTGTTAATTCAGTGCACGAGACTCTTCTTGAATTCTTTTTTACTTTTTTGGGAAACAAAAACCCTTTGGACCTGGTGGACTTTTGGTACACGAGACTGCAAGTTAAAGTAATAATGAATTTTTTTTTGTTTCTGTAAGTTAACGTAATAATGATTTTTTGTTTGTGTACCAGGTGCTTAGTAATGATCGATACAAGAGTGTGCTGCATCGAGCCGTAGTGAACAGCAACAAAGAAAGAATATCGGTTCCGACGTTTTATTGCCCGTCTTCAGACGCAGTGATAGGTCCTGCTAGGGAACTGATTGATGGTGAACACCCAGCAATCTATAGGAATTTCACATACCAGGAATACTATGATAAATTTTGGAACAGGGGACTCGCAACCAAATGCTGCTTGGACATGTTCAGAGCTTCTTCTACCACCTAATGTTTGTGCAACACTTTGTCATTTTGAAGAAGCTTCAAGGCACAATTTTTTTGCGCTACAATGGCTGATCTTTCTACTTGTAGAATTTTGGTGAAAATTGGGTTATTGTCATATTGAGGTTTGATTCTTTTAGTAATGACATGAAAGAGTGAATTTTAATGTCTTGTGATAAGGTAATAATTATTTGGTTTAATTTCATTGATACCAATTGGTCAAATATTTTTTGAAAATAAATATCGGTCTATTTTTATTTATTCGTCACAATTTGCATTAAAAATATAAAAAAAAAAACAATTTTACCCTTAGTTTTTTTAATTCTATGTATTCATAAATATCAAATTATTTAAATAACCATTATACCCTCATTATTAAACCTATCTATCACCGAATTCACCACCACCCGTATCTGTCAATACACGGATCCCACAAAAAGATAACATATATATATATATATATATATATATATATAATTTAATCTTTTTGATAGATGCTGTTCTTGATCCAATTCCGTCATGCTCAAAGAGTTACCTATAATTTTTTACAGTACTTGACGAACGGATCAATGGCCCAGTGATATCAAATTCATAGTTTTGAGCCTCATCCAGGGGTGTGTGAGTCAATTGCTTTATCTTAAAAAAAAAAAAAAAAAAAAAAAAAAAAAAAAACTTGAGAGAGAGAAGCAGTAAGATTTTTGCAAACTAGTTTTGTTGACCATGAATATAAAAATAATATTTTGAAAGATTGACAAAGAACAAGTCGTGATTATAAAACTTTATTTATAGAATTTCATAATAAAATTTGAAGTTATATTTGAGAGTACAAATTGAGGCTTTGAAATAAAACTTATGTGACAGTGTTGTCCAAGTGATAAATGGTTCAGTTTTAAGTGCTCCACACCTTAGGCTCCTAAGTTCGAATCACCTTCTTCTTAATCATCACTAACTCTTAACTCTCTAACCATTAACTGGTAAAAATAAATAAAAATTCAAAAGAAATTATTACCCATATGAAATAGAAGAACACGTCCCTCCGAGTTTAAGGGCACGTAAAAGCTATAGTCTGACTATTTGCAACATGACAAGGATTGCTTAAGGAATCAAAACATTGGACCCAGAAAAACAAACAAAACAAAAAGAAGACTAATTTGTAACAATGACTGCTTTAACTTCAAAAGCGAAATATTGAGCTTGATTGGGCGGGCATTGCTTCAACTTCAAAAGGAATGATTGATTACTAGTTTAAATATTGACGGTATAATTATGGAGTAGAAGTGGGAATAATAATAGAACAGAATAATAATATGTAATTGATTCCGAATAGTAATAATATGTAAATTGCTGATATAGATTGGAATATTCTCCCATGCTCTTTCTTCAGTTGATTCACTTCTGAGTTACCATATCCGGAATAGATGATTGGAAGAAAATGGAATAAAAAGAATGAATACACCAAGCCACATTTAAGGAGCACCAGAGCCAAGTGATAGGACAGAGTCATCAAAATTATTCCAAGGAAAATCCCATAACAGAGAACCAACTACAACAGAATTATGCCCCCATTCATAATATCATAGATCAGAATCGAAGCAAATAAATTCGAAAACTATGGAAAACAGCATCAGGAAAGTCCCAAGTGGCTGGCTCTGGCTCAGAATATGTTTGTTGGAATACAGTAACAGGCACAGCTCTCAAGTTAATTGTCCTAAGCCTTCACACAATCTTTTAATGAGCTTAATAATTGTAGGACGGAGGATCCTTGCTTGAATGAGTTGGAAAAATTCCTACACTTTCTTTCAATCCAAACATTGGCTAGTTTGCAAGGTTTCTAGAATGAAGGGATCAATGAGTCACGAAATTGGTTATACTCCTCGTACCTGCAAATTTGATAAGTATTATTAGCAGATGCAACCCCAATAGATAAAATTAAGACGCGCATACAAACATAAAACCAAGGACACAGTATATGCATGGGGTTTCATGTCTTCCTGGTAGTCGATAACTATGCAGCTTAAAAGCTGTTTAAAATGTAAACATTATGAATTTCAGTGTCTTGAAAATGAGCTATTTCAGCTAGGCTCGCCTTTTGTTCATGTTTTGGCTCGTTCAAATTTGTCTGTAACTTAAACAAGGAGAGAGATTTTATTTGCGAGGTGATCTCAAGAAACCCCTTGCTCGGGCATGGAATGTTCAAAAGCTGAGTGCCTATGGCACTTAAAACAGGACACTGGGATACAGGAGGGATTTGACTCTATTTTTAAACGACAAAAGAAAACTATGACTTGAAATTTCGTTTAATATGATCTCAATTGTTAAACAGACTACTCTTGAGATTATCTGGGAATGCAGGAATAAAATTTACACACTTTCCAATCGAGATTGAACCTCTTAAATATTCGTATTGAGCTGACGACCACCCAAGCCTGAGCATATTTATCTAATTCTGGCTCAAGCTCAAACTGACATGGACAACAAACAACCTGAACTCAACAGAGCCTGAGTTGCCTAAAACTCAGCTGGGCTCACACAAGACTCAAAAAATTTACAGGTTTTTGGACAGAATTTAAACTTTGGGCAGTGGTAGGTAACATATGTGAATCAAGTTTTAGGATTTCAAACACTGTTGAAAGAAGATAATTTCATATATGGACCTTTTTTGCAAGGGTCCCACCCACCATCCACGTGTTAGAGACAATAAACTAATTAAAACCTTAGAAGGAAACATAGAACATCTGAGTTGATGAGCATACCCGGCCGGACCATCATCAGTTTCTATTTGCCGTCTCCTTTTGAGTTTCTTTGGAAGTTTAACACGAACTAAATGAACATCGCCTAGCTCGCTATACTTCTTAAATATCTGTTTGTCAACAAGAAAAACAATAAGAACACGAGAAGAACTTTTGAGCGACAGTTACAACCAAAAAAGAAAACACCGCCCACAGAAGTTCAAGTATTAACGTATATGATACCTTATTTTTAGGAGCCTTCCAAATTGCATTGCCAAGAATTTGTCTCCCTCCCTCTAGATTTAATTGACGTATTTCAAACTGGGCAGCCAATAACCAAATTTTCACAAATGAAAATTTCTTATGAGGAATCAGCTTGAGAAGTGCCCTGGGCAAAATTAAAAGCGAGTGAGGAAACTCTTACAATTATCAAACATCAGATTTTACTTCCACTATCACATTTATAGAATTATAAATACATATATAATGAATTAATTATATTCCTTAGAGGATATGTAACTAAATAATGCCTTCAGAAAACTACATATACATAACCACCGTCAATCTGCCTTGAGCGCATAGTATTAATTCGTCAAACCAACAGATTTAACCAAGGATTTTATGTTACAACCATTATTATCATAAAAAGTTCCATATTAGGGAAGGGGCCTTGAATCAACCTTTTATAGGGAAATCCATGCCTAATAGCTTATGAAAAAAAAAAAAAAAAAAAAAAAAAATCCATGAATATTATTATGAATCCATAATGCTTACAAAAGTGTAAAAAATATGTGAATATACATGACACTCTAATGGCATCCCAGAAACAAAGAAAGAAAGATACTAGCACATTTTTCTTTACATGATAACTTTTTTGCATATTAATATTAAGGGTGTAACAGCTAAGAGAGTCCCAGAAACCTTTCTGATCTGTTTACTACAGTGTATCTTTTTAGTCTTTACAGTCTCAAAGAAATGACAAGTTTCCTAAAATGTTAGGGTGGGGTGGGGTGAAGGAACTTTAGGAAGTGCATTAACAGAACAAATCACAAGAAACATCTCTAGTACGCTCCACGTCTTGAACGTCGAGCTCTTCATATAAAGCATAGTTAATGTTGGAGCAAGGGCAAATTCAGGAATTGTCAGTAGGGTGGGTTAAAGTTAAATATAAATTTAATAACATAATTTCTTAAGCAAATTTTTTTATAACATAATCTAGATAAATATTTGAATTCAAATATTACAAAATATCTATCTAAGTTGTGCTCAATGAGCCTTTAAAGACTCGAATTCGTCGATAATAGACTCGAAATCAATTTTTCAAACAAGGTTCTGTACGGTCAAGCAATCAACAAGAAATTCATCTCTCATTATGCAATGTTTTAACAGGTTTCATATTTGGTTTTTTTGGTTTTAAAGATTGAATTATTGTAATTTTTGTTTGTGGTTTTATTTTATAAATCAATTTGAAATTCTAACACTTACCATCTATATTTGTTTTAACTAAATCTGTAGTAAGTTAGTAACCTTTGATTTGTGAATTATTGGATTTAGATGTTTTCTTTTATACTAATACTCCTTGTCTGTTAGAGATCAAAATCATCAAATTTTCGTAGTTTATAATGCCATAGATTTTTTTATTTGTTTGTTGAATACTTTCTAGATAAACACAGGAGCTCTGTTTATTTTTCATGATGATTAGAAATTGTTGACATTATGAATTTATTTTATATATATAATTTCAGAATTGCCTCTACAACAATTTTATCTCAAAATATGTTTTACTTCATATCATAGTACTTATCATTAATAGGGCTTGTTAAGCTTAGGCCTTTATTTTAGTATTGCGGCTTAACAGACTTGAGCTTATTTGGGTGGGCTAATATTAATAATAAATTTTTTTTTTTTGGGCTGGGCTAAAAATACCCATAGTAAAAAAAATAATAATAAATAATAAATAAATAAATAAAAATTGGGGTGGGCTGGAGCCCAGCCCAGCCCTATGCTGGATCCGCCAGTGTGTTGGAGTACAAATAAATTGAATTAATCTGTAACCATTCAACATGTTATTCTTCAAACAATCAACAGAATTTAAACCAAATCCTGTATTTCATGCCACGCAAAAGACCAACCAACTTCTTATATAGTATCAATAAAGAACTTACCACAAGTAAATGAAGCGCGCTGTCACGCCCCGCAATCAAGAGGCTACGCCACGCAGGCGCCACGCAGACGATGACATGGAGCCTGCATGGACCGGAGCTTTCTAAACTTCTCTACACAAGTATGGAACTTTCCGGAATTCTCTAGATTAGTGTGGAGTTGTCTAGCATTTTCTAGACTTGTCTAGAGTTGTATAGAATTCTCTAGACTTGTCTTGAACATTGTACATAGTTCTAAAACAGTATAGATATTTCTTTTGAGGGTTCTAGACACTTAATCTAGGCCACACATTTGTATACAT